CATACATTTTACCTACATACATTCACACATTTTCATTCAGTTCCGTTGTTTGATTAATTTTCTTGATTCTCTTGATTTAAGTATACTACTTACGCGCCTGAATGGGTTTATTGCCATCTGAGCGCATAATTTATGAGAGTTTTTGTTGTTTTGCAAAAATGATAGCGGAAGATTTAATGTTTTTGTGTGTTTTGAGAAATTATTTGCAAATAAATTAAAACTTAGTATAAACTTTTTTGGTAAATTTTTTGCCTACTTACTTTATTGTGTTAATGTCTAACAAATATGGTTTGCTCAAAAAAAAAAAATTAAAGAAGGTGATTTAAAAATAACATAAAGTTTTTATAAAAACTAGCCGCTGTATACACCTACAATTTTTCTCGAGCCCTCTAGCTAAAATTTTTTGTGAGTCTGTTAAAAAGGCCAAAATGGTAAATATCGGAAAATGTGCAATAAAAGACGTGGGCCAGGCAACGCAACAAAAGTTCGACGTCGAAGAGCTGCAGTCACAACGGACAGCCAAGATGTTTCGCAAACGAATAGCAATCCAGCAACTCTTAAGCATCTTGATATTTTAAAGAATGGCATAACGCGCTAACCTGTAAGTGAAAGCAACGCGAGACGACAGTGCAAAGAGGCTGAGTTGAAGGTTGGAAAAATGCGGCTCAAAAGTCTTATCAGAAAATAAGGCACTTATAAAATGGCTTCAATTGTGGGACTAGTTTCTGCAGACGCGAACATGGAAATCCTGCAACAGTCGCCGGGAGTATACCTAAGATAAAGATGGAACACTTTTGAGGGCTTTTGATAGGCGACAAAGGTAGTGAATTCGCAGAAGAAGAACCGATACCGAGGAATGTATAGTCATGAATTTGACAACGTTTCCCTCAATCAAGACAAGTTGAGAACTTCAATAATTAGGACTAGAGTGCCAGTTACTGTCGAAATTCGACCGTATTTCTAGTTTTTAAGAGCCTTGGAGAGGTTTTCTACCTTAGCACGTAGCGAAACTTATAAGGTGCAATGTAACTAAAACTTGACTAAAATTGTTAATAGCTTTGAAGATCTTTGGAGGACTTCGGCAGGACTTGGAATTGCCCCGATACATTCCATACATTTATCGATAAATCTGAATAATTTGATGAATTTCAGAAACACCAAAATCCGATACCTCAAAAAAAAAATCGGTAACTTGACTAATTTCGATAACTGAGAAATTCGAGGGCTCGATAAATTTCGATAACTCAAAAATGTATATATGTCCATATAATTCGATAACTCAATAAACTTTGGATACCTTTAAAAATTTCGATAACTCGGTTAATTTTGACAGCCGCATATTTTTGGAAAGCTAACGCCAAATTTCGATAACTCGTTGCACTCGGTTAACACGATAAAATTCGATAAGCAGTGATAGCTCAATAAACTTATATATAACTATGAAATTTCGCTGCCTCGATATCTTTTGAAAATCCCATAAACTTCGCTTCGATAAATCGCCAATTTCAGTAAATCAATAACTATCGATAACTCTGTAAGTTGAAAGAACTCGATGCATGACGATAACTCGATAAATTTCGGTAACTCTATAGATAATGATAATTCAATAAATATCGATAACTTGACAAATTTCTTTCACTCGAAAAAATTGATAATTCCATAATTGATTATAGCTCGATAACTATCTGTAAATTTCGACAACTAAATTTCTGTATTGTATAAATTTCGACAACTCAATAAACATAGATCTATTTTGGTAGGTGTTCTGACCCCTTTTGAAAATTTGGTGCGGCTATAATTTTTTCAACTACTGTGCATTAGACTGCATCACCAAAAAAAAAAATTGCGTTTTCTCCGGCGGGATTACCAAACCTAGCATATTTTAAGACTTCTATCAAAATATTTCGGAGAAACATTAAGATTTTTGTGAGCTGGACCGGTTCGAAAATACCACTAAAAATGGAGTTTTTTATGAAAAAAATAGTTTCTTCAAGGATTTTTTTTTGAAAAAAATCCCCCCAGATAACAAAACAGTTTGAGCTTAAAAAATCTACGTAAAAATATTAAAAAATTGTATCAACGGAATCATAATAATGCGATTTTTGATGATTTTTTTTAACTTTTTTCAAAGATTTGTGTAAGAAAAACTTGAATAACTGCTCCAAAACCTTACCGATTAAGACTTATGAGGTATCAGTGGAGAGGTATTTTCGCGAAAAAAAAACTCATTCACGTCTCAAATTCTTCTTAATCAAATACCAACACATCTTAATTCAACATGGAATGACACGCGTTTATCTTACCTTCCTCTTTCATACTTTGGATGAGCTTATTCGCAAAGAAATACAAAGGGCGAGAAAATACCTTACCAATGATACCTCATAAGTCTAAATTGGTAAGGTTTTGGCAAGTTTTTCTTAAACCAGTCTTTCAAAAATCTCATTATTATGATTCCGTAGAAAAATCTTTTTTTTTTTTTAATTTGTGTGCAAAATTTGTAAGCTTAAACTGTTTAGTCATCTGAGGTAAGTTTTTAAAAAAATATTTAGAAACAACTGTTACCTATGATAAATATTTATGCTAAATACTTTGGCGAAGTTCAGACATCATTAAGATTACGTATTAATAAAACCGATGACAGTTACCTCTTTGGTGATTTTTTATATCACAATCTCATTTTTGTGGAAAGTGCTGATAGAGGGTATATTGAATATACATAAGCCCTCGTATCAGTTAAGGCAAACCTTTTTAGGGCCATTGTAGCTAGAGTTTCAATTATTATTATACATCATTTAAGAGCAGCTTTTACCTAGGATGCAGGTTCCATGATATCTGTTTTTGCACAAGCAAGGGCAATAAATTTAAATCAACAACGGGAAATGCAAAATGTTTAACTCCTATAACAGATAGGAAGCCAAAATTTGGACTTAATGTTGGGGATAAAGTATGCAAGGAAATATGTTCATACTGCAGGTCAATCAGGATGAAGAAACCCTGTACATTATTCTAGTATATCTATGCGGAAAGAATGCTAAGTGGTCTATCAAAAAGTATAGAAGGCCATTAAATGTTTTTGGCCGAGACTCCCTAAGCTCCACTGTAAACAATAACTATTTATGTACATAGTTTATCATACTCTCAGCTTTTGCCTTTCAGACCAATGCAGCGCTTTTCAGGCTTAGCCAATGATATTTGATAAGATCGCAGCTGTAGGAAATATAATGCCAAATACGGAGGTGGTATTAAGCACAGAGCCTCTCCAAAAGGATTATAACTTATGAAACATAGTCCTGTGCACTTGTGATCGCCGTAAAATTGATAAAACCAGTAAGTGTTACATGATGTGACGAGCTCACTTGCAAAAGTATGAGACAAAACCTGTAGTTTCAAGCGCACAAGCAAGCTTTTATGTCTTCACAAGCAAAACATTAACATTGTAATGTCTTTTATTACAGGACATTGCCTGGGCATACTTAATATCTCTTTGGGACGCGTCCTCAGCAACCCAATCAAAGTTAAGTATTAGTAAAGTGAATTCGTGAGTAAAGAAAATAAATGTCTATTCGTGCTTCTCTGCTGTGGACTGTAACCATAGTAAGTGTGTCAGTTAAATGCATCGACGAAAATTTCAAAATGAATAAAAAGGCTAAAAATTTTAGTGGTTTGAAAAAAAAATTAATAAAGAAACGTAATCGCAAAGATTTGTCAAAGTTTTTATTTGGAATCTGATAAATTTGACACACTATTGAGACTTATTTATATAAGAGCATGTAACCGCTAAGTTATGACTGATCACTGTCAACATATTGTCGAGTTTTTACGATAAGCCAAAAAATTAAACTTTTTCAATCTCTGGTTGCGGCCCTATTTTTATTCTTTTTAATTTCGGAAATTTTCGTGGATGTCTTTGTTTTGTACCTATTTAGAACAAAACAAAAGGGGGCCCCATGATGTTGAAATTTTAAGGATCACCCTAACATACCTTAGTAATAAATTTAAAAACCAAAATTTTAAATCAATCTGCTCACCTGTGTATAAAATATTCGGAAAAAAAATATCCTGTTTTATATGCTTCGTGTACAAATTGTTACATCCATAAAATGCCAAAAAATGCAGTTGTCAAAAAATAATATTCACACCAACAAGTACATTTGTACATACATACATATGTATGTTCTGCACACAAGTCTTTGATTGTTTTATAACATTTCTATATCAGGCTTCATAAAAATTTGGCTGTCGAAAATCTATGAAATGTATTTCATAAATATTTTTACACAGTTTTTTGTTGATACTTTTGGCACATAATTAAAAAAAGTCGATTGTTTCGTTGAATCAATGTGTCATGCCAATATTTATTTTGGTTGTCTGTTTAAAAAAAAAACACACACTATTTCACTATCAGTATTTATTTAAGGCTTGTAAAAAATATTTATTTTCTCGTTTTTTTTTAATGTATTTTGATTTAACTTTTTCTGCACTGCTGCACAATGTAGTAGAAATGCTTTGCTGTATTATTTTTGTAATTGTAATATTTTCTTTNAAATGTATTTTGATTTAACTTTTTCTGCACAGTTGCACAAGGTAGTAGAAATGCTTTGCTGTATTATTTTTGTAATTGTAATATTTTCTTTACTACACATTTAACTAGTAAAAATTCTGTGTGTTTTTGTAGTCTTTATTTAATTTTTATTTTAATATTTAATTTTTATTCCATTTGCACGTGCAGTTTGTTTGCTTTTAGCATTTCATACATAGTGACTGTAGTACTGTTTGTTTATTTTCATAAATTTTGCAATTGCAATTTGCGATTGTTTGTTTTTAGCACTTTACTATTTTATTGCTTTTTTGTGTGTTTCCTTTAGTTGAAAATTTTTTTCACGCGCTTCACAATTTTGTTGGCAAACATTTTTTTCGCCATGAACTTTTCGCTGTTTATGTGTATTGAAATTTTGTTTTTCACTGTTTTCAGGGTTGATATTTTGATTGATTTTTAACACTTTTTTATTTGTAGTTGTACACACATTTTGTGTTCAACTTCACTGTACTTTTCACTTTTGTTGTTGTCTTTTTAGTTTGCTTCTTGTTTTTAAACCATTTTTATTGGCTATATGTTTGTTGCTTGTTGTTTTGGTAACTGCGCTGTTAAAGGGTTAAAAGAGGGAAATTTTATTTTAATTGTGGAAATGCAGCAGGAAAACAAATGCAATTAGTTTTTATTGACTTTTTGGGGTTTTTGTAGCTTTTAGCTTGAAAAAAAAACTTTGCTCACGGTTGATTTCAATTGTATTTTTGCATGGATTTTGCGCTAATCTGTGCTATGCCTCTTTGGCTGTTTCTATTATGAATGTATGCATGTATGTATGTATGTATTTTTTTTCTGTGCCCAATCGTAATCACTTGGCGTCGGCTTTCAACCTTCTATATTGTGTTATCTTTTCGCATCTTTGTTAAATAAAACTTTTACAAAAAAAATCTGATTGAAAAAAAAAATTGTTTTACCAAAATCGAAATTCTTCTAAAACATAAATAAATTCTATTATAAAAAAAATATCTTTATATTTAATTTTTCTGAGTCTGTTTTTTTAATTTTGAATTTTTTTCTCTCTCCTTTTCGACAAAAGTCAAAAATAAAATTTATTCTTCCAATCTTTTCAGTGTCTTTTCGGATTTAAATTTTAATGTTTTTTTCCTAAATGTAATTTCGATTTTCTCACTAAAGTTGATAATCAACAATTCATTCAGTTCAGTCACCAGACAAAATTAATTATTTTTGATTTTTTTTTGCATTTATCACACCAACAACAACTATGTACCACAAAATATTGGCGCTTAGAAAACACTTTTAGCTGCCGCACGCGCATTCAGCACATCACGATTCTCGTTTGCGAAAAAGCATAATTATTTTTTTGTTGCAGAAAAAATTGTCACGAGATTAGCAATTTGATTTAGTGCTACTGTTTTGCTGACACTGCGCTTGTTCGTGTTTTTGTTTTTCTATAATTTAAAATATTTTATTTTATTTTTGTTTTTTCTTTAATTGGAGTTTTACTAAACAAAATTTTTTAAAATGTTGTATACCCAAGTGCAGTTTTTGTACTGGGAAGTAATTTTCAGAGCAAAAAATTTGGGGGTACGTTTAAGTTTTTTTCTAATTAAGTTCTTTGATTCACTTTTCTTTCTTTTCAGTCTCTCAAATGCAGCATTTTTTGACTTAGTTATTTATTGTCAATTATGGTCATATTTTGGCACACAAGATATATAGAATATTAAATATTTTCAAATATTTTTTGACTTTTTAAATTTATTTTTCAAACTAATTTTTGTTGAACAAGAAATTTCTAATTGATTTTTTTTTTCCTTAAAATTTGTTTAGTCTTTAAAATTTTTAGGTTTTTGGTTTCGTAACTTTTTTTGCCGAGGAAAAATTGTACGTAAGTCTATTTTGTTTTTGCTTTTAATATTCAAAATTAATTTTTTTAAATCCTTTCAAAGTACTGACTGATTCGGCCACTTGAATTAAAATTTAGTAAATATTTTAGTGTAGCTAAGTTTTTAAGTGTCCCAACGAAAATTTCACAATTTTATAAATTTGTTTTGTGTTTAATTATGCGGCAGCAAAAATTCTATCTAAATTTAAAACTTTTTGTGTTTGAATGTGCGTTGTATTTTTGGATTTTTAAGCTTTGTTTTTATTCCAAAAAATAGTTTACGTACTTTTTTTCTGGAAATAAATTTTTGTAGTTTTATTTAAAAATAATTGCATTTCTTTCTTTTTTGCACAAAAAGTTCATTGTCAAATTTTTGGACTTCCTTTTTCACTGAAGGCCCTATTGGCTTTAAGCTCTGATTTGTTTTTCCAATATTTCAACTTTAAAATTTTTTCACGCGGTTAGTCTTTAAGGTGAATTCGCAATTTTTTCTCAAAACTTTAAGCCTAGTTTTAAGAAAATATTTTTTTTATCGCAATATTGCACTTAAGGAAGTTTAAAATTTTTAAAGCAATTTTGGTGTTGCTGTTTTTCTCTTTAGATTAGTAGTTCTGAAGTTATTTTTATTTAACACTTGTTTCTTAGTTTGTATAAATTTTTTTAAATTTTATTGTTACACTAGTTTTAAAAGTTTTATTTATTAAATCTCATTACAAATTCTTTAAATAAAATAAAAATTTTGTTTTCTAAAATTGCCTACTGAATTTTTTGTTTTCCAAAATATGTTTCAAACTTTGTGTGCAAATTTTATGTATGGGGGGTGTTGTACGAAAGTTTTTACTTTACACTTCTTTTGGTGTTTTTAGTACTATTTTGTCTTTTAAAGCTTTAAAAAATTTCTTTTTTTTTAATTAATTCCTTTACTTAATTTTTTCTTCTAAAATTTGTTCGAGATTTGTTTATATTTTTGTGTGTAAAATTTATGCGTGACGGTGCGGTTTTAAGTTTTGTAACTTGGCACTTCTAAAGTTTAATTTTTGTTTCTCTCTGAGTAAAAAAAAGTTGTTTTATAGATAGTCTTTAATCTGGCATTTTTTCCTGATACTTTATTCGTTGACATGTTTTTTAGAATTTCTTTTGTAAAGTGATCTTTCAACTTTAATATTTTTTTACCGTATATTAAAAAATAAAATTATTAAAGAAAACTAAAAAAAATTGTGTTTTTCAGTTTTTTACCACATTGTTTTGAGAAAAATTTGAATGTCTGTAAATTTTTTCAATTCACCATAGGTAACTAGAACTAGATCAAGAAACTGGAAATTTTCTTTCCAATTCCAATTTTTTCAATTTCTTCATTTCCCCTAAACTAAATTAAAGAAAAAACGTTTTTATTATTTATTTTTTTACCAGAAATTTCACAAAAAAAAACGAATGTCTTTAATTTTTTTATTTTGTCTCAACTAAATTTTTTCATTTCAAATCAACTAAAATTTTATAAACAAAAGAAACTTTTTTGAAATTTTTCAAAACTTTGTTTTGCAAAATTTGGAATGCCTATTTGAGTATGTGTATTTAAATGATAAGCTAAACTAAATAAAAAACTGAAGTGTTTTTAGGCTATTATATTAAAAAAAATCCTAACAAAATATTTTATCTGTGGTAATTTTTTATTTTTTTTTCGTAAATAAAAAATAAAAATGTCCTTCAAATTTACAAATTTCTAAACGCAATTTTTCCAAAAATATTAAATTTAGTTTAGTATTACCATAATTTTGGTTTTTAAATTTTATTTTTTTTTATTAAAATTTTTTTTTAGTATTTTTACAGCATGCTGTTTTTCGCAACACCGCCGTTTTTTGCTGCCCTTTTAATGTCTTTCAATTTAAAATATTTTCCCATTCAAATTCTATTTAATTCAACCTCGCTGCTCACGCACATATTGTTAGCTCATTTACATTCAAACATGTTGTGTATTTATTTAGGCACATACGCACTAGTGCCTACATACAAACATATGTACATACATACACCAACTTGTATGCGCATATATATATGTATTTTCTTGTCCGACTAAAACTATTTGCATTTGTTTTTGTACTGCTTCCACATTGTCTACTTTTATCACAGCAGAAAAAATTCTATTCTTCTGCTCGGAAATATTTTTTTTTTTAAATTTCACTTTTATCGTTTTACACTTTCTTCGCTTTCGTCTCACACGCTTTCACACAGTACAGCGAAATTCTAATTTATTTCATTTTCTTTTTCAGCTACTATTCTCGACTACTAAATTCTGTAAAGCGATCACTGGGGGCGTTGGGTCAGTTCACGCGCGAACCACCACACCACATCACATAAAAATTTTGACTTAAGTACTCGTAGTACCGTCTGCGTTTGCGTTGGGGGTTGAATTGAATTGAAGAATTGAAGAATCGAAGAGTTGAAGAAACGACACAATGTTGTTGCGATGATGATGGTTCGGCTGCTGCTGATGTTGCTGCCAAACTGAATTGAGTAGCCACAACAGACAACAGTAAAGACTGTCGATGTCGACGAGTTGCAGAATAGCCGCCGCACTCACTTGGCTTTAGTACAGAACAGTAAAAAGGCGTAAAAGAAAGACAAACAAAAAAAAGGGAGACCGAGAGTATTTCACTTCACTTCATTTCGATTGTAAGAAAAAAGCAGCGCGCGGCTTTAATTTGTATTTGCTTTTTACTATATACATATATATGTATGTATGTACGTCTTCCTCAACAAAACGCTCGCGAGCACCATGACTTACTGCTTGATCGGCTGGTGGGTTGGTCGCTCGTTTAGTGTTTATTACTTATGCAGTTAGTCCATCACCCGTCCAGACGTTCTATTCACTTCGATGAACATCTTGTAACTATTTTCGAAACGCGAACGCAATTGCAGAGCAGACCACACCAGAGACCAGACGAAACAGTCTGCGACCAGACCAAGTAATAGTAGCAGAAGCAGAAGCAGAAGCAGAAGCAGCAGTAACAAGAGCACCAGCACCAGCAGCAGCGCCAGCGCCAGCGCCAGCAACAGAAACAACAGAAAAGTAAAGTGAAGCAAGCCAGCGAAGCGAACCAACAAAGCGACCAGCGAACCAAAAGCAACAGCAGCAGCACATTTGCTGTTGGCCACCGCACCCCACACCACACCACACCGCAGCACACCAAACCATCCCACTGTACCACACCTAACCAGAGCCCCATCAGCATTCACCACCCCAGTCCATGCCTGTTGACTGCTTGCTATCCGTCGCCATACATATGGGGAGACTCATACATACAATTAAACCTACTCATACGTTCGCACGGCCAGCAACTCAGCTGCTGCTGTCCATATTCGTCATACCACCATGGCAGTGCAAAGCAAAATCAACGCAGAAACAGAAATCGTAATCACAACCGAAGTTGTGTATATATTCTCCGGTCGCTTACGAACCAGCCACATAAATAAAAGCAGAGCGCAGAGTAGAAAACACAAAGAGCTAAAAGAGTGGTTGAGGTGGCGGTTATGGTGGTGGTGCAGCTGGGCTCGCTGCTCCACAGAGCCCCCAAAGCAACACTCGACCAGGCAGGCAAGCAGGCAAGCAGTCAGGCTGGCAAACAGATATGTATGTACATTAATACAAAGAATTTGTTAAAACAAAGAGCAACCAAGCAGCAGCAACGGCAGTAAACCATCAGTTAGGTTAGCCCCACTGACGGTGAGTGTAAAAATGCGAAGCGAAGAGAACTGAGGCTACAAATGTAACAGTAACCGCGTTAACGGTAACAGCCCCCAAAATGTTAACAGACCGTATAACAGCAACTACGCGATTTTAATGGACTATGGCACTGCTAAGGGGAGCGCTGTGATGTAAAGGTAGCGCGAAATTTACGATGGAGCTGTGCTGATACAAAATTTCAACGTAAAAAAATTCATTGCGTATTGCGTATTGCGTACCTGAAATGCTCGTAGCTAGAAATGCAGAAATTGGAAATTTGTTCATAAACTTTAAACCGATTTCGTATTGTTTGCCATTTTATTTGCGTCGACTTTTTAGTTTAACATTTTAATTAGCTTCGTTAATAGGTAATGGTTATGTAACTTCGCGGTTTGCGAGAAATTTTCAAAGGTATTTACTTTGAAGTTGTATTTTCTGTATGTTCTCGGGCAACGGATTTTTATTTTTTAAAAATTTTATTTAATTTTTAGAAACGTATTTTTCTCATTTTTTAATAAATTTTTTTTTCTTTTTTAATTTAATGTTCTTTTGATTTTTAAGTTTTGTTGTTTTTATAAGAAAACAAGTTTTTTTATTTCAATGAGTATTTAGTAGGTAACTGATTTTACGTTTTCCTTTTTAAATTTATTTATTTCTTAATTTTTTAAAATAATTTTTGTTCCTAAAGAAAACCACGTTTTTCAGTTTTAATTTATTTATTTTAAAATTTTTAGATTTTATTGTTTTAAAAAGAAAAATATTATTGTTTTTTATTTAATTTAGTTTTTACAAACTTATTTTATTTATTCATTCTTCTATTGTAATCTGACTTTTTTCTTAAATTTAATTGCCCTGGTTTTTATTTTTTAATGTTTTGAAAAGAAAATTATCATTTTTTATTTGATTTAATTTTTAAACAACTTTTTTTATATCTTTAATTTTTTAAATCAAATGTTATGTTTTCTTTTTTTTCATTTAGTTTTGTTTCAAGTTACTTGTTATTGTAAATCATTATTTTTTAATTCAATATTCAGAAAATCCATAGCTAAATGACAAATAAAATAACGCTACGACCACCTGCCTCTTCTTTGGCAGATCTTTCAATTTGTCGGGCGTGCCATTCTAGAGATGCGAGGATCGAGTCCTCGGACAACGGATTTTCTTGTGTTTTTAATTTACTTTTTATAAATAAGTTTTTTCAATTTCTGGATTTTATTATTTTATATTTTTTAAGTTCAATTTAATTCTTAGAAACACATTTTGTGTTTTTCCTTACATTTTTAGGTTTTACTATTTTATCAGTTTATTATTTTCTTGGTTTATTTTACTATTTTTTTCCTTTTTTAATATATATTTATTTATATTTAATATATTTTAAAGAAAACTATATTATCTTTTTACTTATTTTTTCTTTTTTACTTCAAATATTTTCAATTCAAATTTTATTGTTTTCAAAAGAAAAAAATATTTTTTTATCTAATTAAATTTTTAAAGACAATTTATTTATTTTTTCATTTTTAATTTAACCTTTTTTTAGTTTAATTTTCTTTTATTTAATTATTGCTATAAAAACGAAATTATTATTTTTTGTTTAATTTAATTTATATAAACTTATTTTATTATTTTTTCGTTTCATTTTTATTATACATATTTATATTTTTTCGGTATTATTTTAAGTTTAATTTTCTTTCGGTTAGATTTTAATCCGTTAAATGTTTTTTTTAATAATAATTCAATATTGATAGAAGGCAAGAAGAATAACGCTAAGAACTCTCTTAAACAGATCTTTCCATTAGTGTTTGGAAAGACGGAAAAGAGCTTCAAGATAGTTGCCAGAATTGACAATTGGCTTTCGAAAGACTCTGGTGAGATGAAAGACAGTTGCCATAATACCCTTTAAGATTCCAAAGTTTTACTAACAGCTGTATAAATACCCAACAGCGACCATAACAACAGCTTATGTACATGGAAGTTAACATCGAATTCCAGAAGTACTGTACAAATACTGTTAATAATAACAGCGTGAACAGCGCTCTGTTGAATGTTAACAGACCCCATTAACTAAGCTATGCGCTAGCAATGCTACCCCAAACAAATCGAGCGCCACAAAAATTTCTGCATTTCTATCCACTGCAACAGCACAACAACAACAACAACAAACACACACACACACACTACTTAATCCCATACCAATCAAATGCGACTTATGTCTTTACCTCCCAGCAAATACTAACTAGAAGAAGAATTAACGAAGAAAACAACCGACGGCAAAACCGAAGTAACTTGCATTAACCAAACGACTCATCGCGATCGGCAAACTGACAAAACGTTTTCAAAATAACAACAACAACAATAACACTAATAAAATAAATGTGGAGCTAAGTAGCGCGCGCACCGCGTATAAGAAATGCGAAGCACTTGTTTTGTTGCTGGCAGAGAGCGCACTAACGAAAGCGAATGTTATGCCAAGTATTCTTTGGTTTGTGCGCTGCGTAATTAGGTGGCTCCAGCAATCAACGGCAGCCAGCGAATAGCAGCAGCGCAGTCGGCTGTTACTTAAACTGATAAAAGAACACTTAAAAATAAATAGAAAAAAAATTCGTAGCGGAATGGCGCGATGCGGGATAAACTGGTGCAGCGGCAATGCGCCAAAGAGTGTCTGCGGTATGCTGTTACTCAAAGCGTAAAGAAGAAACTTAGCGAAGAAATACTAACTAGAAAGACAGCAAGCAATCAACTTTTGTTTGGCTCTTCTAGTTGCGCTCTTTTGTTCTTGCGTCAATACACACTCTCGCCGCTCTCTGGCTCTGGCCGTACGTTGCTCCAAACTTGGTTGGGGGTTGTCGCTGTTGCTGTTGCTGTGGAAGCTGTGCTGTTAAGCGCTGTTAGCTGGCAACATTTCAACAGTGCACGCTGTTAATGATTCAGCTCCTACTGGTACGCCATTTTTGTGGTCCATGCCACTGGCTGTTCTATTAATTTCGCTACTATGCTCTCATTGCACTAATACATGTAAACTTGCCTTTTTACTTTCTTGTGTGTGTATGTGTGTGTGTATTCACTGGCGCATTACGCGATTGCATTTGTTTTTTTTTTGTGTTTATACATTTTTCTACTATTGGCGCTCTTTTCATTAGAATGCACTTAGCAAGTTGTGGTTCCGAAACTATTTCACAATTTTATTCTATTCTTTATTGTTATAGTGATTTTGTTATTGTTGCTGCTACCGCATTAGATGTTTTTACACCGAACTGCATCAATATTAGAGGTTGAATTTCAGAGTCGCTGCCGTTAGCTCTGCGACGTTACTGTGCTCATATTGTAAATTTTATGGTTGGTAATTTTTTTTTGGGAACTGCTTTATTCTAGCCAATTTGGATTTCACGGTATTTTGGGGTCTTTTGCAGTATGCTAATGCAAAAAATATTAAACTGAGTGATGACATCATCAAGTTTTTGACATAAAAATACACTCCAAGGTGCACATCTCTATGCAAATAGGGTNCATTTTTTTTTTGGAACTGCTTTATTCTAGCCAATTTGGATTTCATGGTATTTTGGGGTGATTTGCCGTATGCTAATGCAAAACTATTAAACTGAGTGATGACATCATCAAGATTTTGACATAAAAATACACTCCAAGGTGCACATCTCTATGCAAATAGGGTATAGCAACAACTGTTTGAAAGAAATTATTTAATACATATGTATATGTATTCGTACTCTGTAATAACGACACAACTCAAAACTTTAAAACGACCCAATCCTTAGGGGCCTCATGTCCTTAATACCTGCCCTGTAATAACGACATAATTCAAAATTCAAAAAATAAAAACTCTTACCACTTTTAAGTAGCTCATGTCTATGTTAATCCATGTCTTATCCTTTCTACTTACAATATTAGTCCTTACGACATACTTCGTTTAGTACGCAATGGAAATGAATTTTAGTACGCAATGAAAATGAATAAGACAAGCATTA